ACCTACATGCACTACATCTATTTGAATAAATAACAAAAATACAAAAAAAGTTTAATTCTACACTTTTCATTGGCATCATTGATCATGTGCTTCCATTTGAGAAGGTGTTTACACCACACTAGCTGTTTTGCAACGCCAAGGTCAGTCTACACTTTAAAGGCAGTATTATAGTCTAATCTGGTAGACGTAGGCCTGTCAGCCTCCTAGAACAAGAGTTTTATACTGAGTTGTGCATCCCTGTAAAATGACGACCAAAACTTTTCAGCGGGAGGTCTGGTTGAGTTTTCTTTTTGCTATCTGTCTTATTAGTGATGTTGACCAATAAGAGCACAGAGCACTTGGCATGTGTAAATGTCAGAATTATCAACCGAAACAACTCTGGCAACAACACTGCCTTTATGATGTGTCCTCGAGAGATGGCCCCGATGGCACAAGTCTTCTGTCTGTATTTTCCTTCAAACTGTTTTATTTATACAGATTTCTTGCCCAGACCTTTTTTTTTTTTTTTTGTGGATGTGACATTTGAGCACATCATAATAACACATCTACTTTGTCCTTACTCTCGTTTTACCAACCCAATTTTGAACACCCCGCAAAATAAATCATTGACAAATTAGCTTTTATCCTGCTGATGTCAACATGAATTTCAACACTGAATTCAACATTTTTTGATGATGACTTTTTTGACGGGTTTTGCTTTATAGTCTTGCTGTGTTTACCCTGGCTGCTTTGGGTGAAAAGAAGGATGGGAGCCCCACAGCAGCAGCAGCTGGAGTTGACAGAGTTGTTTCAAGCTTCAGATAGTCAAAGGAACTGCAATTACAATTGTATGATTTGATGCACAATACTGATATACTTGGCCATAAGGTATAGGTCGTGTTCCCCCTTTTGCAAGACATTATTTTGCAACAAAAACTGCATTTTACTTTACATCTTTATCTCTAGCTTTGTTGAAGGGGACCTGCCACCAAAATGTGTTTTTTGCATTTTTGTGTGTCAGATTAAGTCCATATTATGTTCATCTTATGTTGTAAATGTGAAAATAAACAGTTACGTTGTTTGCATTCTGTAAAGGTTTAAAATAAAAGAACGGGTAAACCAGGCTGATTGAAAAAGCAGGTCATTCTGACGTCAAGCTGACCTTGCTCATTATTATCCTCAGTGAGCCGCGCCCACTCTCTCGTTCTCGTACCCAGTCACACTCTCCAGCCAGAGCAAGACCCAGCTACCACTGTACCCGCTATGGGTCTCTTCCAAACGGCCGGTGTTTCCTTGGGTTCACTGCCGGGAAAATGACCTTAAAGCTGGGCAGAATAAATGAGAAAACACAGCTGGAGCACCAAAATTAGTTCTTTCGCTCTCCGGCTTCTTCTTTAACTTCCACATCCTCTTCGGATTCGGACTCGGGGTCAAAAATAGATGGTTTAATACCTGCCATTTTTAGCCTTTAGCATAAGGTGACCAGACGTCCCCAATTTCCGGGGACAAACCCCAAATTGGATGACCTGTCCCCGGCAAAATGATGCCTTCATGTTCTCATGAATGAGAACAAAAATGTTGAGTGTGGGCTCGAACAACGGTTATTACAGTAGCCGAATGGGTAGGAAGCACAAGTAATCAGTCCTGAACAACAGTTCTTACGCGGGTTATTACAAGGGGCATGCACTGCTACTAAATAGTACCGAGATGTCTGTGATCACGCAGCAAAGCTCATTATCATAAATGTTAATGAGCCAAAATCAGTTGGTTTTCCTGTAAGGTTTTTTAGGCATACTAAAACAAACCATCAAATAACTTTTCAGCTAAAATTATGTTGCAAACATGATCAGAGGACATGATGAAAAAAAGATTAAAATGGGTATGAAATTTTGATGGCAGGTCCCCCTTAGTGTGTGTGCTTAGTGCTTAGTGCTTGTGTGTGTGTGTGTGTGTGTGTGTGTGTGTGTGTGTGTGTGTGTGTGTGTGTGTGTGTGTGTGTGTGTGTGTGTGTGTGTGTGTGCCACTGACAGGAATTTGTCAAGACTTACAAAACGATGGCAGACTGGATAAGCTTAAAAACTTACTCAATGTTAGGTTTTGAAAAAGCTATAAACCTGGTAATTAATGAGCCCGGTTATTGATCCCTATTCCTAGTGATCACGTGGACTGTGATGATTGCTCATGTAATACTGTGTGATCTACCATTATAAATGTATGGGTTTGTGATTGTCTTATCTGACACACCAACCTTCCTTACAGTGATATAGGTATTTGTTTGGTATTTGCTAATTTAGCAGGGCACAATCTGGGCACCAAGTAAGAATGGAAATAATATCAGACAATCTGTTATTTTACAGTCAGATAGGTACAGATTTCATATTGGTCATTTCTGCAACATTCTCAACCTTCAGCAGCAGAAACTCAAACAGTTGCGTACCATGGTATCCCTCTAATAATTAAGACTACTTGGTAGAAAACACAGCTTTAGAATCATCTTATCACAAGTGCACCCTCTTAGGAAGGTACTGCACCACTGAACCTAGACTTTAGCCCAGGTCTTTGTTGGGCTCAAGCACAAACACATTCTGCTCTTGAGATAGCAGCCATATTTGCACCTGAACACACCTCATTTTAGACAAACACTCCAATGGGCTTAAATTCTTTGGCTTTTTACACAAGCTGAATGACAGGTGTGAAATGATAAATGACAAAATGCTCACTGCCAGGTGAACAACGAGGCCTTTAGAAGCATGAATCGTCTTTCTCTGTCAGAACCAGTCTGTTATGGATCATTATTTTGGTCGATTGACTTGACATCAGAATTTTAAGATTAACAGCTTGAGGATTATCCATTTTTTTACACTATTCCAGTCAAAATCTGCACAACAGTATAACAGTATCCAAAAAGAACAGCAAGTATGAAAACATCACTCATCATTTTCTCCCTCCTCTCCACATGTAACCCATCCTAATCTCTCTCTCTCTTCATATTAGGCTACTCATCTCATGTTCTCCCCCTCCTCCCACCCCTTCTATCGTGCCACTCTCTTTATTTTGCTCTCCGACACTGTAGAGGTGACTGTTCCTGTTTTGCCTTCCAGTCTAATCTCAGGCTCATTATGTAAAGGCGTGTTGGCTCATTTGTTATTTCTGGCTCCAATAACCCTGATTAAGGCTTTTTTTTCTCTCATCCTCCTTCCGTCATCCTGTTATCACTCTGTGTTAATGATAGCATTGCTGCCCCTCTTTCTGAAGGGTCCCTCCCTTCTGTTCTGAAATAACACAGACGATTGATTCAAAAACGAGATGAGTGACTCACACACACTAATCTGCTCTTATATTTGCTATACATGTACAGTGATACAAGCCTTTTATTCCATACATCATCATTTGTATTTGTTGGTCAATTGATAGTACTGTCGTGATTTCCTTAATATAGACAGATATGAATCCCACTTATTTTGCATTATTTATTTACTTATTTTGCACTCAAAGAGCTTTCATATTGATTAACCACCTGCAAGCCAACTCATTATGATTTCACAACTTTACAAGTTCCATGTAAAGGTATACAACCAAACTGTCTACAACTGAGCTGTGTCTATAGCAATGGTGTGTGCTTGAAAATAACAGGCTGTTCCTAAGGAAAACTGGCCCATTGGACTAATGTAATACAACCACATAAGAATGGACCTGTGTCCCGGTCCAGGAAATGCTATCTTTGTAGGACCGAGCCGTCATGGTTTGCACTGACTGGTTGAGCCATCTGAATTGAGCTTTATCCCAAGGATCACATAGAGCTGCCCCTGTCACGTAGCAACTGCTAGCTTCCAGCTAACTAGCTAGCACAGCTAACATTACCAACATTACTCAGATTATTTAAGCCTAGTTAACATTCGGCCTGTTACTACAACAATTTAATACAGCAATTTTGGTCACAAAACACAAAGGCTTGAACAGCGCACACCCAATACACAGTAATCAATAAACAAAGCCACCACACACAATATACCACGGCAAAACAGCCATTTCAGTTCCTTTTGGGAGTCCACATGAGGTTGTGTCCACCACACTCATATTGCCAGTTATACATCACATAAATTCCACTTTTATTCAAACAATATGTAAAGTACATAATGGATTCCATGAATAGTGACAGACTCACTGATGTGGATCACATTTTGAAGAGGAATGACGCTATGCGGTTCTTCATGTGAGCAAACATCTCTGTGACCTTGCTGTTAAAATACACTCGTCCATGGATGATGTTACATTACTATGGTAGCCGAGCTAGCAAGACCTGTGCAGTTACCACTCTTTCTTCTGTTCAGCCAATGAGAAGTGCTCTGAACTTCAGGCCCCACTGCCAATCAAAATGAAAATCAAATGAAAACTGCAGACATCTCAGTGTGGACAAAGTTGAAATTTTCATGAACTTATGCTCAACAACATTTTTGACACAGGAAACCTTAACAAAAAAAACAAAACGCTCATAATCCTCTCCTGCATGCAGGGCCCTCTGGTGGGGCTGTGCCCTACCAGCCCCTAATGCAAGACGCCACTGTTCTTCAATAGAAACACTAATCATCTCACCTTTACTATCAAGGATATACAGGGCAAGATGAGATGTTTACTTGTGTCACAGCTATTTCCTCTCAACACATCAACAAGTGGGGAGATAAATTTGCCCAGATTCTGAAAAAAAAGGATTTAAATGGATAAGGAAATGGGATATACAGTGCATCCGGAAAGTATTAATACCACTTCACTTTTCCACATTTTGCTATGTTACAACCTTTTTCCAAAATGGATTAAATTCCCTTTTCCCCTCAAAAATTCTACACAAAATACCCCAAAATGACAAAGCGAAAAAAATGTTTTAGAACACATTTATAAAAATAAGAACACTCAAATGTTGCATAAGTATTCACACCTTTTACTCAATACTTGGTCAAAGCACCTTTGGCAGCAATTACAGCCTCCAGTCTTCTTGTGTATGATGCAACAAGCTTGGCACACCTGGATTTGTGGAGTTTTTCCCATTCTTCCTTGCACATCCTCTCAAGCTCAGTGAGGTTGGATGGGCAGCGTTGGTGCACAGCTACTTTCAGGTCTTTCCAAAGATGTTCAATCGGGTTCAAGTCTGGGCTCTGGCTAGGCCACTCAAGGACATTCAGAGACTTGTCCTGAAGCCACTCCTTTGTCCTCTTGGCCGTGTGCTTAGGGTCATTGTCATGATGGAAGATGATGTGTCGCCCCAGTCGAAGGTCTCGAGCGCTCTGGAGCAGGTTTTCATCAAGGATCTGGATGTACTTAGCTGCATTCATTTTTCCCTCGATCCTGTCAAGTCTCCCAGTTCCTGCCGCTGAAAAACATCCCCACAGCATGATGCTGCCACCACCATGCTTCACTGTAGGGATGGGATTGGCGAGGTGGTGAGCGGTGCCTCCAGACATGACGCTTGGCATTCAGGCCAAAGAGTTCAATCTTCGTTTCATCAGACCAGAGAATTTAGTTTCTCCTGGTCTGTGAGTCCTTCAGGTGTCAGAGTGACCATCGGGTTCTTGGTCACCTCCCTGACCAAGGGCCTTCTCCCCCGCTTGCTCATTTTGGCTGGGCAGCCAGCTCTAGGAAGAGTCCTGGTGGTTCCAAACGTCTTTCATTTCTCAATGATGGAGACCACTGTGCTTTTTGGGATCTTCAATGCAGCAGATATTTTTCTGTAACCTTCCCCAGATCTGTGCGCAGATACAACCCTGTTTCCGAGGTCTACAGACAATTCTTTCGACTTCATGGCTTGGTTTGTGCTCTGATGTGCTCTGTCAGCTGTGGGATCTTATATAGACAGGTGTGGCTTTTCAAATCATGTCCAATCAGCTGAATTTGCCACAGGTGGACTGCAATCAAGTTAGAGGAACATTTCAAGGCTGATCAGTGGAAACAGGATGCACCTGAGCTCAAGTTTGAGTTTTATAGCAAAGGGTGTGAATATTTTTGTATATGCAACATTTGAGTGTCTTATTTTTAATAAATTTGCAAAATGTTCTAAAAACAGTTTTTCGCTTTGTCATTAGGGGGTATTTTGTGTAGAATTTTTGAGGGAAAAAAGGAATTTAATCAATTTTGGAATAAGGCTGTAACATAACAAAACATAGAAAAAGTGAAGTGGTATGAATACTTCCTGGATGCACAGTATATGCCTCAAATAGTGTGCTCATTTTATCATATACAATCTGGCAGTCACACTTTATGGAGAAAAAACATCATCTTACACTGTGTAAATAGAGCTATATAACACCGTCGCTTAGAATTTTTCATCTCGACATCAGCAATTGCATGAAGGGAGCTGAGGGTGCTGATACATTATGACTTCATATATCAGCCTATGTTTTAGCAGGACTTGGTGTCACAGATAAATACACCCAATAAAGATAGGAAACACATACAGTGCATCTGTAAAACCACAAATGGAGCCCTGTCAGAGCTGATCCCAGAGGTTTAGAAGTGCATGTTTATCATTTGCGTGTTTTATGAACTGTGTTGAACTCAGTTTGTGTCAGTCTGCAGGTTTGTGTGTGTTGTAGGTGTTGCTCCATCTGTATGTTACCCCATGCTCACCTCTAAATCCTCAATACAGCTGTGGATTAGACTCTGGTAAATTATGGCTCAGCTGTGCTTTGCGGGCTAAAATAATGCAATAATGCAACATCCCTCCTCTGTGTCGCTCAGCGCCTGTTAACCTGGACCATCCCGAGACAAATGGGCCCAAAATTGGGATTGATATGGAGGGCTTTACCGTGGGGGGAACTCCACTAAACACATAATAAACACATGACGCAAAGCATATTTTCTGCTTTGTCTTCCCCAAGTGACTGGAAATAAAATCTGGTAGTGACAAGTCTGGCCAGACCAGGAAACTAATGTGATGTTAGGATGTTTATTAGATATTCTCTGTACCGCTCAAATACACAAGATTGATTGTATTGTCAGTTCGGTGAAATTTTATCAGTTATTTATTACATTGAAAACCCTCAGCCTGCCGGTTTTAAGGTTATTTAAATCTCAATCAAAAAAAGATTTCACCATAAGTTTCTTTTTATCAGATCTGAATAAAGATGAAATCAATTAAACTTATAATCTTCAAGATTAGGTGCGGCTTTTAGTATCTGTATACAATATCAATGCTAGCAAAAAAACACTACTGTATTGACTTTGCCGAAAATGTTTAGTGAACAGAGACATAAATACTACCAACCACTGGAGTGATATCAGTTTAATTGTATATGTTTGCCATGTCTTGCCACTATTACCAGTAACAGTTCTGTGTAAATATACAGTATATATAGTGGATACAGAAAGAATTTTTGATTTGGAGTAAGGACCACTCCTATATATTATCCTCATAAATCAGCTGGGACACAACAGAAGTATTGCAATGTTGAGGGTCTGGACTTCATCATTCAACGAAAGTAAGAAATCCAGATATTATTCAAGTAAAGTGTTAAAGAGCAAAACTGAAGGTTTAAATACTAGACTGTATATACTATATACAACTTGGTTCCGCCTTCTGTCATAAGAATTTGAAGCCAAATTGCTCTTGGTATTTCCAGGATTTTCTCCACTTCCTGGAACCTCCACTTGCACAGTAGTGTTGTACACATTCGGCGGGAGAGTCACTGTAATGACGCTCTGCTCAAACAGCATATCCCCAGGTGAGCTATGCAATCTTCGTACGCCCATAGACTGTATCAAGTGTCAATCATAGAACATGAACCCCCCAATAACTTTTGAAAATGGAGGTGTACAGAAAAAAGAGGACTTGAGCACAAACCAGTCTTACAGTAACTACATGATCACAACCACAAGTATGGGGGAGAAAAAATTATATTCTGTGTAATCAATTTCTAAAGTTTGTCCATAGCCTCATAGGGATTGCTGAATACTGCAGCCCATTACCAGAGGGTGTGGCTTCACCCAGCAAGTAGGCAGACTGCGTCAACTCCGTACACAGTCTGTGGTTTAAATACTAGCTCAACCTTGACACTAATTGTTTTGAATGTTTTGACTTTTTGTCAATTTATAGACTGACCTTTTGTCATCCAAAACTTAAATAATAAAGAGCAAAAATGACAAAAATGTGACTAAAATTAAAAGGTACATTAGTCCTAAAACAGCTGTAAATAACACTTATACAGATCTAATTTTTAACTCTGAAGTTTTTCATCCTTTCATTTCTCTTTTGAATGTATCACTGCTGTAAATCTAGAATTTCCCTCCTGTGAGACTAATAAAACAGTATCTTATGTTTTCTTAAAACAAAATTTGAATTAGCTACCTAAATTAGCTCTGCCAAATGGGCTGACTGACACATTACACTCAGTTTTCTAAGTACACCTTGAGCAGATGCCTGTTAAAGTTTGAGCTTCTTTCTTAGTCTTGGGTCTCCCTCTCCATCTGCCGTGTAATAATGCAGTCAGGTATGAATCCAGGTCATAAGTGCTCGACTCAAGGATGGGTTCTTAGGGACTCAAAAACTGAAACACTGTTGCCATGTAAGCAAGTTCATTCTGTTCCACTTGGTGCCCTCAAAGGTCTGGAGCCCTTCCATTTTTTTGTGTCTGGTTATGCAGCATTTTGCCTTTTTTAGTTTTGCCATATTTGCAGTGTTACATTTGTTCTTGACTTTTGTAGTTTTCCCACTCTTGTCCACTGCTGTACAGCGTGTGGAATAAATACAGTCTTCCATACCTAATCTGTGCTTCAGCACCCAGCTTTGAAACATAATACCGTCAGCTTCACTGTTTGAGTATTCCTGATCTTTGTCTTTGCAAGGTAGGATAAAACCCTGTAAAACACAGCACTTTGTAACTTTCCTCTCCTCTGTGGTTCTGCTCTCATGTAAGAACACTCGGATGGGAACAAAGAGGTTTAGGTACCTAAAAAATCAAACCAATTAAGACCTGATCCAATGAAACGTAACTCGCCCAAACCTCCTCTCTCCCAGTGAAATGAAAGTGACTCTGTTCAGAAGGCTCTTTGGCAATCTTTGAAACAATACACGGATCAAGAAACAGCCCTTTCCTCTCATCTGCAGTGCTGTGTGTAGATGTGTGTGCGTGCATGCGTGCGTGCGTGCGTGTGTGCGCATGCTCCTGCTGCTGAGTATACTGGATGTCCAATACAGTTGAGCTGTGCAGCAGTTGCTCCATCTGTGAAGCAGTATCTCACCTCTCCACATAAACAGTGTCACACATGCAGTCCATCCTTATCTGTGGATGTGTGTGTGTTTGCACGACAGGACACATTCATATACGTGAAAAAGTCTTGAGTCATAAAACATGTAGATACATATAAAATTACAGACAGAGCCAGAAGCAGCAACAGACTTAAATATGCTGATGAAGGGACAAAGACAAGAGAGGGAATGAAAGGAGGAGAGGAGAAAACAGAAGGACGGGGGGCTGACAAGGGACAGAGCATTAGACCCACCCAAACCAGCAGAGGAGAGGAGGGGAAGACAAAGACAGCAGCTCTAAGTACTAAAAGAGCCACAGCAGACTGAAGGAGACAGAGGGAGAGGGAGAGAAGCGACCCCTTGTCTTGCAGAGATACAACACCCAGTCGAGCAAAGCAGACAATCTCTCTGCAGCAACAGACTCAGCTCTGTGGTCTCCACCAGCTCTGCCGCTGCCTTCAGTCTGTTCATTAGAAGTTTCTTCTTTCACTTCCTCAGAGAGTCATGGAGGAAATGGTCTGAGCACCTTTCAGCAAGCAAGCTCTTAGATACAACCCCTGTTCTGATAGAATTGTGTCAAAGGTTATTAAAAACAGATTTCAGTGGGTTGCAAATCATTTAACTCTACATAGAAATGAAAATGGTGTGAAGATAAAAAAATGATATTTTATTTTATTTTATTTTATTTATTGATTTATTTTATTATATTATTATTATTGTTTTTTTAGGCCAGAAGTAGAGCAGTGCTCCATCACTGTTATTGACAGCAAGTTGTGTTAAATATTGGACCTTCAAGTACAGACACAGTGACTTTCTCACAGTGTAAGAGAAGAGTCAGCTTCATGGCCATTCCTAGACTGAGTCCTTTATCAGCTGGTGGTTTCTGGTGGTATAACACAGGGATATTACTTTTTATATATTTGCCTCTGGCTGACCAGTTCAGATCAGACTGCTCTTTGAGCCCACTTAAGACAAACCTAAAAGAGAAGGATTTTTGTGCTGCTGTCATCATTGTTCCTGATCATTGGATCCAATTTCAATTGGTGGAGAGCTTTACTTCACTTTTAGTTTTGAGTTACTGAAAAATGTGATGTCTTTAGAGGCCTAAAGCTGAAAAAAATACAGGATCCGTGTTGAGCAGCGTTGCATGTCATGCAGCAAATAGATTCCCATTCTTATCAATGCAGCAATCCACACAGTACATGTATCAGTGCTGTTGCAGCTTCGTCTCAGTAGCGTATAACCTCTGCTAAAGACACGCCCCAAGTCTATTTTCTCTGCTCTACGCTTCCAACAGGTGTCACTCTTCACAGAGAAGATTGTTCTAGATAGGATGTCAAGCACTAAAATCTGCACGTCATCTGGTAAATTTAAAATTAAAACACTGTATGTGAACTCCCGACTGTGTATCAGTTTGTGTAAACCAGAAATACTTCCTGGTTATGGATTTATCAGGAACACAGTACAATCCGATGGTCAATCTCTGATCCATGTGGACCCCAACAGGACTTTTAACTGATAACTCTGTCTAAGGGTAACAGCACAACATAAAGCGACATAGTTTACTTTATTCAACATGAGTAAATCTGCAAAAACCCAAACTGTAAAATCACGTTGCTTTCTCACATATAGTAGAGGCTCAACAGTCACTGAATTATATCCAAATTAGCAGGATATAACCACAGAAAGGCAAAACAACCTGTTGTGAGCATGTTTCTTCTATACTGAGCCCAGCTGACCAAGGCTGCACTACGCTGCTGCCACGCTCCAAATACGCATCCTGTATGCAACAGACAGCGCTGCTGGACCGAGCAGTGACTTGACACTGATGGAATGCACTCAACAAGGATCCTGTATGTTTTCGGCCTAAGAACAGATGAAACAATAAAATCTGAACCTAGTAATTAAGTGGCCTCCAAGTCTTTCTAGCAGCAGTGAAAGCTTTGTCCTGAGGAATTAAAAGTCCAAAAGGAAAGGAAACATTTCTCAGTTATTAGTTATAAATAAATTACATGGTAAATTTCTGCACTCCCATATTGAGCCTAAATACTGTATAAATTGCAGAATTTTGAGTACATTTGTGACACTGCATGTCACTATGTAATTAACAGTTTGCAATGATGAACTGTAATAAAAAGGTGCATTAAAATAGAGGAAATTAAGGTGTGCACACCTGGGAAATCCAGCATAGGCACAGTTTTACAGACTGTGCTCACAATTACAATAAGAGGCAGCTTAAACAGAGAAAACACACACACAGAGATACACACACTGTAACACCTAATTAAAATGGTTTAAGCAATGGTTCACAGAGGAGCTCCCATCAAGACCTGGTTCACTGGTAATGTATTAACTTGAGCGTCTTTGTGAGAAACTGTCACTAAAGCTGGCAGAATTTGAATACTGAGCAACTGTACATGTAAGTCATCAGAGCAAATCAATTCTTGACTGTGTCTTCATTACGGATGCTTGATCACGTTAAGCTTTGGAGGATTCGCACCTGCCTGAGGCCTGTTTAAAAGCATGCACGCCTAGTTGATTTGGTCATTGCACTCACATTCTGTGGGAAAACAAGCCTGACACCTCACTGTTACATGCACTCAAAGGGGATACAGAGTGTGCATGGAAAGACAAACACACTCTAGAGGAGGACGGGGACAGAAACAATGGCTGGTACGCACTTTTGTAACAGCAGAGCTGAGTGTTTTGGATGCAACCAATGGAAAACCCCACTAAACCATGGCGTGTGTCGAGCGCCAGTGCTGCGAGCCGGTGCCGGCTGGCAGGCGGCAAGAGCTGGCGTTGGGGCAGACGCACCCAATAGGCTGGCAATGCTGCAGCTATAGAGCTGTTGTGTGATATCACAGTGAAACAGATTGAGATTAGTCTGCCATAATCCATATAGGAGAAAAGAGGGATGGGATAAGAAGTGAGGGATGAAGAGAGAACGGGAAAGAGAGTTAGAGAGCAATTTCTATCATAAGAGGAGAGAATGATCTTTGTTTTTTTACATGACACTCTGATTCAGCCAGTGTAACACTAAGTGGACAATATTCTTTGTACTACTGCATATGTTCATAGTTTTATCTCTTTCAGCTCTTTCCTAACATGTCCTGTTGTCGTCATCTTTTTTTTTGTGTTCCTTTCTTGTTTCGCCTCAGGCTCTGCGTCTAATCTCACCCTTTCGCCTTCTTGACAAGCCAGATACGCCTCCCAGTCAATCCTCTGGGTAAATTAGCCCTCATTAGGAAAAAGGAAGTGTCCCCTAGCTGTTCAACCCATCTTCATTTCATAATCCCAACAGTTATAACATCTCCTGGTGTGAAACTTCCTCCTTCTCCTCTCTTGTGTCCTATAAGAGGTGCTCCAGTGTAAACCAGCCTGCCTGGCACATGAAGAGAGGCAGCAAAGTGGTCTTTGATGGTATTAACCCTTCGCACGGTGCACATGATGGGGGATGGGGGGTGGGGGGTGGGTATCCTCCCAGCATGATAATCTATGTGTATTTTATGTTTATGATCTATACTGCACAGTTGAATCCCTAACAGCGGGGATTTGTTCAATTGGATTAGCTATTGTCACCAAGGATTACAAATCTGATGGCAGTAGCCAAAGGACAATCCTCAATACAGGATGATTGACAGCTGATCGGCTCTGTCATGTGAGGCCCACACACTGGCCCTCATTTATCAATCTTGATCTTGATTAATCGCAGATCTGAGCGCAGGATTTATCGTATGATAGGACACACGTGAGATTTATGAAAGGGTTCGTATCTGACCAATCCCAACGTACGTATGATCGGGTCTTGATAAATGCGGCGGCTGAAATCGATAGTCATTAACATGTTTAAGCCCTTAAATATTCGTGGTTCAGAAGCCTTGGTCACTGAGGTCAAACATGAAAGAGGAGAAATATTAGAAAGATTGGAAACTTTTCTCAGCTGCAAGTGGATATCCTCACATCTGTGGTGGAAACTAACAAGGATTTGCTCTTTGGAGTTTGCTATGTGTGATGGTGATGGTAACACTCTGTCCAGCCTACAGCTGTTAAAGTCCCCTGGAGCGCCAGGATACTTGGCTAGCATACCATTAGCATCCTCGGCTATTATATCTGCTGCTGTGTTGATGTTAGCCTCGGGGACTACATAGACGCAGCTAACCACAACAGTGGGGAATGCCCGGGGGAGAAAGAAAGGATGGAGGGACAGTGTCAACAACTCCAGGTTAGGAGTGCACATTTTTCGGTGCACTATGATGTTGTTACACCACCTGTCATTGATATAAATGCAGACCCGCCCCATCGCTTTTTCCCCATGTGCCTCGTCCTATCTGCCCTGATGATGGTGAAATTATCCAGGCTCACCTTTAGAGTCAGGTACTGACTCGTCCAGCCAAGTCTCGCAAAGGGCGATGGTAGAGACGTCCTTGAAGTTCTTTTGATATCGGCTCCTAGCACGTGAAAGATCCATCTTGTTGCGAAGTGACCGAACATTGGCCAGGATGACAGTGGAGAGGGGAGGTCTGAAAGGACGTCTCCTTGCCCTGCTTCAGATACCCCCGCATTTCCCCCTTTTACTCGGCTTGAGCTCCGATGGTAGAACCATGGCAGGCTTGATGTTACTCCACAGTGAGGCCCGGTGTAGCAAGAGTTCATCATCGGCTGTAGGTGAGTAGTGCATTGCCAGCGTCGGCTGGAGTGCGATGCTATCGCAGATTAGCCATAGGATTGCGAGGAAAATGGTGATCACTTTGAAGCTTGTTGTCATGGCTTTATCATTCAGACGTTAACAAAACATAACATAGGGTACAATCAGTGTATTCGCAGTAGAGCTCTGCTGTCACAGCAGGGCATGCGCTATCTTGATCTCCTTCTGTAGCAGGAGCAGGATTATGGTGGCGGTGAACAGCGCTGCCGCAGAATAGCGGACAATGGCTAAAGTTTGAACAAATCATTGGTCAATAAGTTGCTCATGATGATAAATTAATATCATATATATGCCTCTTATTTTTATTGCTATGACATAGGGTATGTTGCTCCTATTATTGAAAGTATTTAGTTTTAATCTGTTGCGTCTTTGTAATGTAGAGCAGACTGGAGAGTCTGACAGAGGCTGAACAAAAATAATTATTAACGTCCTCAATGGCACATTTTCATGGATTTCTATTGGATTTTTATCACTGATTAAATAGCAAGAGCATTTTCTAAACTTATACTTTACATGTCAGAATCCCTCGATAAGGTTCTGTCTCCTCTGTACAGCACCTTTTGTGGAGTCTCTCCTCCTTATTGTTCTCCGGGCATCGGGTCCGCACGTTGCACCGGAATAGCCAACGGCACTCCATTCGCCAGTGCAACATTGTGCAAAACTGTACTGGCTCAAATGATGTCCCACACCCTTTCAGGAGTGTACAACAACGTTCCCGCTGCTGGGCCAAGACAGAGACACCTGCCTTTTAGGAGTCAAATGCAGCGCTCCACAGTGGCAGGTGTGCATGTGTGCACAATATTAAAACGGCGCTCCTGCTCTTTGGCAGTGTTTCTGGGCAGAGTTATCAAATAGGCCTATTCACTATTTTTTTATTTTTTATTTACGTCCTAATCTTTAATGAAAGCTGGCTGATTGTGCTTAATGACAGGTTTGAGGGTTGTTTATTAATTATTTTGAGACAGACATTTGCTGCACCACAGATCCACACTGACTCATATCAGACCTGTCGTGAGATTTGGTCATAGCGTACGCTTATGTGCAGACTGATAAATACCGATCCTCACATCAAAATTTTTGTACGCAAATTGTACGCAAGTTTTCTTCCGTACGCAAGCTTGATAAATGAGGGCCACAGAGTGGGCAGTGTCCTGAGGCAAACAGCGGCTGGAAAAAGTCGCAAATAACTGCTGGCTGTTCATTGCTGTGAGATGATTAAGATGAATTACTACATTAGTATCCATCTGGGTCTGATAGTTTATTCTTATTTATCGAAAGAAATGCCATACCCTGATGCCGTGATCAGTTTTTAACAACCAGAGTGATGTCAAGAACAATCTGACCGCACACATCACATCAAATCAAGCTGCCAAAAGGAGTCCAGCACACACCTCTGCCTGTTGACACTGTGATCAAAATGTTGGGTTTTTTTATTTCATATGTGACAGCCACCGGGCAAGGGAGTTAGAGCTGCCTGTAGAGCTACTGAGCCTCAACCATTTCTTGTAAGAGAAAGGGAAGCGAGACGCTGTCGTGAAATCCAGGGATCAGAGCTGGTAAGTAGTGTTGTGTCATTTATTAACAATTCGTTTAAAAGAATGGAACTGCTGAGTGAACGACATGAATGGAATCACTCCCAAGACCTGATTCGTTCCTTTCTCATTTCAGTTGAGCTCAGCCGCAAGCGTGGCGTACCAGTTGGGAGTGGAACTACCGCCTTTGCCTCTTTGGCGAACAACACAAAGGGAACCAGCAAGCGAGCGAGCAGGCAAAACAAATGCCTTCTGAACGACTTGAGGCAGACAAAGGA